AAAATAAATAATAAACCTCAACACTGCTGCAAATAGTTACAACATAACTTAATTGTTTTTCTGTACCGCTTATCATGTTCTGAATTACAGGGAACTGGAGTTTACCCAAGCTGACTGTGGGCAAATATGCTGACTAATAATAACCCAAATAAGAACTAATCCTGACCCTGGAATGGTTTTTTTTTTTCATTTTTATCCAATTTCTAATCGCGGTCTTGAGTTAAAAAATGTTGTAAACCCTTGTGTACATTATACAATTCAGGGAAAGGAGGTAAGAAGGCATGTATGTACATGAAACAGCTGTGTTGATTCTGCTAAATAGAGAGTGATGATGATCATGATAATGATGATGTGTAGCCTACAGGTTAGTTTGTGAATATAAAGACTGGCAAACCATTTAGAAAAAATTTTGACACACCATCCAAATGATTGTTACATACAAGACTACCTCATCCTTTTTTTCAGGGTCAAGACCCGAAAGAGGAAAGAACGGTTTAGCTACTTCATCTTTTTAAAAGAGTCAAGAAGAATGGGGTCACATTTTTTTTTTGTTTTCAAAAACCTTCAAACTGTGAGTGCTGAGAAAGGTTTGAGTGGCTGAACTTGCTGAACAGTGATTAAAAACTATCAAAATACTGCCAGATTGTCAGCCAAAATATCAATATCACCACCCAGTATGTCACAACACTGCTTCCCACCATACCCCCAACACCATTTCGCAAAGGTGGGATGTCAGTCACTCATCAAGGACTTGGAAGGTCAAAACAAATTGTGACAGTGTTGAAAGAATCTTGACTACTGCCGAAGCACCCTTGAGCAAAACACCGAAGCCCTCGCAAGTTGATTTCAGAAGCACAGTCTACTTTTCCGCATCCCATCGTTCAGGCATCTCCCTTTGCGCGCCCGCATGAGAGATCTGCTTCGACTGCCGACACTGGTCACCAGCCGATCATGTAGCACGAGTGAAACGGAAAAGCAATACGATACAAAAAGTCATTTGGATGAACTTGTCATCGCCACACAAGATGGTTTTATTACCAGCCGAAGCCGAATTGGTGACAACAGAGTGTCACAGCTTGCGCAACATGTAACCGCCAACGTCACTCACATGTGCTTTACATGCAAAACATGAGCCGAGGCAATGCCAATGCCCGATGACTGCTACACTGTTAAAAATACAAAAGACAATGGGCCGGTTTGTGCGCCCCATAGAAACTATCCACCTGTATTGACTTAGTTAAGACCTGCTGTTGCTTCCAGTGTCAACATTTAGAAACAACTTCCTCTGTCAAGTACCAGCGAGCTACGCCCACTTAGTGTGTCAAATTGAGACTAATTGCCTGCACTAAGCTGACAGCTGAAGGTGCGCGATGGATGTCTTAGTGGGGGGAGTGGATTTTGGGGAGGGTCGTGGCTCAGGCATGACACCACTCCACCCCAGTGACCTGCAGGTGAACTTGGACCAGTGAGAAAATAACAGGTTCTCCTATTAGGCCGCCAGTGTGTCACTGCAGGGCTCGTTCGGGAAGTCATTCTTAGTTTGCCGTACAACAATTAGCCTAGAGGGCCTCCTGCAGAGACCTGCAAAGTGCACAACCTTGAAAACTTGCCAGCCGAGACCTTTGCCTTTAGGAAATCCGAGAGAGAAATGTTTGCGTTTGTCATCGGGAGTTGTCACAGAGATGAAAGGGAAATGGTGCCGCTGTTGGACTGTCTGCGACGGAGTTCAGTTTTTACTTTTACCAATGTACTGTAAGCTATGGAGTGTGGTCAATGGAAAGTTTTTATTCCCCCAAACATTTCAAAATAATACATTTTCGATCTATAATTGCCTGCATCGTATATGATAATAGTGACATTTAAGAAATGGATTCTTGATGTTCTCCTGCAACGTGACTCTTTTTTGAATGACACCCTTGCCAGTCAAATTCATTTACTCCCTTTCTGATTTACGATTAAAAGTGGTCAACATGTTGTTACACTTAAGGTGGCTAACGTTGACATTTTGACCACGTTTGTGTTGTTTTCAGACAAAGTGCAGTTCAATCATAGTGTCATCGCAGAGAAATGGCATATCTTTGACTGCGCTCAATGGATGCGCAGTAAAATGTCTGATTTCTGCGAAGTGCCTCCGTTGTTGAAATACACGGGGTATAGGACACACATTAAGTGTTTGCACAAGGCGTTAAAGCGCAGCACACATCACTAAGTGCTAACCCTCATTGTTTGCTTTAGAAATCATCCATGTCCGGTGTTTTGCACTAAAAATACACTTTACAGCATTCTTTGCTCTGCATGGGGTCAGAGTGGAGCCCTTAGGCGCATTACAGGCCATCCTGCCGGCTGTACCAGATAAAGATGATAAATGTCAACTCACAGAGTACTTAAATGCGTACTTGAATTTATTGCAAGCACAATGCGTCTTCAAAAGCTTTATATGGCATGGATTGATGCACCCTGACGCTTACCCCGCCGACTGTCAAAGACCGAGATCCCGGATACAAGCAGTCGAAATGAGTTTCCTCTGCAGGGTGTCCGGGCTCTCCCTGAGAGATAAGGTGAGAAGCTCGGTCACCCGGGAGGAGCTCAGAGACAACGAGAGGAGAGAGATGAGGTGGCTCGGGCATCTGTTTAGGATGCCTCCTGGACACCTACAGGGTGAGGTGTTTTGGACATGTGCAATCGGCAAGAGGCCCCAGGACGACCCAGGACACGCTGGAGAGACTATGTCTCCCGGCTGGCCAGGGAACGCCTTGGTATCCACCAAGAGGAGCTGGAAGAAGTGGCTGGGGAGAGGGAAGTCTGGGCTTCCCTGCTAAAGCCATTGCCCCAGCGAGCCGACTCCGGACAAATGGTGGAGAATGGATGGATGGATGTATGGATGGATGATCTCGGTCATGAATCGAAATTAAATAAATATAACAGCCCTCCTGTAACAACCGATCGTGGCTCAACTTCAGAAAACAGGTGAGGTGTGATTGGTCACTGCCCTGAGCTGACCGAAAGTGGCAAAACGGCCGGCCCCTTAGGTGGCCAAGAAACCAGTGAAGGCACATGGAACAGACTGTAAAGAAAAATTTGGGGTTGACTTCCCCGTTAAAAACTGGAAGACACAAATGTTGTAATTTTTATGCCATTCATCTGACTTTGTTGTAACTACCCTCAAATTAAAGCTCAGAGTTTGCATTTGAAGCACTACTTCAATATTTCACTTTAAATCCATTGTGGAATGATGAAAATTGTGTTAATGTCCAAATATTTGTACAGATGTGTCCATCTGACTGTATGTCGTGACCTGTGTTTTTGCTGATGTGGTTTTTGATTGCTTTTGATTTGGTCATGCTTTCCCTCTTTTCCGTTTCATGTCTTGTCTGTATTGTTTGTTTTTTGTGTGCAAAAAAAAAAAAAAATTGGAACCATAAATAACAAAACAAAAACAAAAAAAAAACATTGATCCATTGTGCTGCTTCAATTGGATTTCATGAGAACGCTTGAATGTAAAAACAGAATTCTATCAATGAAAACTCCACAATAACACCATGGGAAGTTTATTTGGTATCCATCACGCGCATTTAAATATATAAACACACAAACCTTAAAGAAGGGTAATGAGTTCAGCAAACAAGCATTATTTACATCAGAAAAATACTGCATCTTTCATATGAAACAATTGCAAATACCTGTGTTGGATTCTTGATCAAGCTACAAAAATGCTTGCAAGGCAGAAAAAAAAAAAAGCTTTTGAAACAAAGTCAGTCACAGGCAGTTCAAGACAGCAAAAGCCTGCAGTCTGAAAATGCTTGACACTTTAAATGTTACTGTTTATCTTTGGCAAAGAGACTGTGATTTATTTCCTTGGAGAATCTCTGACAGCTTAAAAGTTCCTAATAGCTTTTAAGGGAGAAAGAGGAGCCGTCCTGGCACTGCAAGAGAAGTCAAAGATCCCGGACAGCGGCAACACTTGACATCCAAACTATTTTAATAATCCAAATTTCAAACAGCAGTTAAAAATACAGTTGTATACACATATAGATATCAAAAGGACCATATATCTTATAATTTACACATTTCTACACTATTTGCAGGTACAACGTCGACCGAATATGTACTGTAAATCTTCCGGGAAGAGCTCAAATGACTAGTTTGAAATCAACTTTCAAATATATTTGCTTCCCTCCGAAACCGACAAGGCACTGGAGCGTTTATGATTCTTTGGCAGTGAAATAACGCCTGTAGCCAAAGTAACATTTTCTGACCATAAATGACAATTCTCATTGGCAAAGAAACAGATGTACTTTTACATGATTGGTCCACTCGTGACGCACCGTCCGAGCTGGACCCGAAGGTGGACCAGAAGAAGCTCTCTCCGAGGAGTATAAGAAGCCAGACAGTGCTTAACTCACAAGTTGCGTTGCAGTTGCTACAGTTTGGATTACGATAGGAATCCGGTCAGCCCTGCATAGCATTTTTCCTCAAACTGCAAGAAGGTATTTACACTCAGCAATAATAGAGTAGGCGGCCCGGTAGTCGAGTGGTTAGCACGTCGACTTCACAGTGCAGAGGTGCATTGATTCAATTCCAGCTCAGGCCTCCCTGTGTGGAGTTTGCATGTTCTCCTCGGGCCTGCGTGGCTTTTCTCCGGGTACTCCGGTTTCCTCCCACATTCCAAAAAAACATGCATGGCAGGCTGATTGCACACTCCAAATTGTCCCTCGGTGTGAGTGTGAGCGCGAATGGTTGTTCGTCTCTGTGTGCCCTGCGATTGGCTGGCAACCGGTTCAGGGTGTCCCCCGCCTACTGCCCGAAGACAGCTGGGATAGGCTCCAGCACCCCCCGCGACCCTCGTGAGGATAAAGCTGTACGGAAAATGAATTAATGAATGAATGAATGAATAATAGAGGATGTAAGCCTCTGATTTTACTCCCACATTCCTTGACTTGACAGAAAATGCTCTCGCTGTTCATTTATCTCCCACATTCTTTGATGACATTTTTTTTTCCCCCTTCGGAGACATCAGCTCAATGGACCTCCAAAAGGCCACGTATCACGGCATTTGCTTTTTCTTTGGCTTTTCTGAGATGCCACCACGGACGGACCGAGTGCAATGAGAAGAACAGAATTCGGTTTCATACAAAGGACGAAGATGTGTCATCAAGGGAAGTTGACATCTTTCTTGAGTTGAGAGAGAAAACAAATGTTTTGGGTTTCTATTCATTAAGTGTGTGTTTTCAACGCCCGGAAATGTGTGTCGGTCTTCTGATAGCACAACTCTCCTATCTGGCTTCAGTGATCTTGAGGCACGATTTGTTTGCAGGCTTCGAGGCGGGGATCAGTCTTTGGTTTTGTTCTTGTTACTTAGCTCTCTGCGTGTGTCTCTGGGGGCATTAGGAGAGGCATCACCCGATCAGCGTCCTCCGTCGCGCCGGCTGTCTTCTGACATTGCGGAGCGGAGGTGGGCGCAGAGCTTACAACTCCAGGATCCGACGGAGGCGCCGTTTCTTCTCCGCGAGCCGGTGCGGCATTTGCCTCTGTCTTTCTCAGCTGCTCCTCTTCCTCCTGCTTCAGCCTGCGCTCTTCAGCTTCTATTTCCTCAGTGGTGGGAATTGAGTTCTTCTTGGGTCTGCCTTTAGGCTTGGTTGGCGCCTCCTGACCGCCTTTGAGTACCTACAAATACACACGTCATCTATGCGGATTGTTCTTGTCATGAAAGGTCAAATTTGAAGCTGAGGCTTTTTTTTTTATCTGTTTTGTAATAATGTTTGTAAGTCTGATGAAGTACATGTTGCTGAATCATGTCTTTTCCATTTTGGATGCCACATGAAGCAAATGTGACAATGATCACTGCATCATGAACTGAACTGGGATGGGTCAATCGTTTAATTGGTGCACGCAGAACTATCCAAATTGTTTCATGACTAACCTGTTTTATTTACATCATTTCCGATGGGAAAATTGGATTGAAACTCTACTTGGACAGTCGTAGCATATATCATATTTGATCACTTCCCACCGTCACAAATATATGATGATGTCACTCACCATCTTCTTCCACTTCATGCGCCTGTTTTGGTACCATGTCTTCACCTGAAGCTGTGTGAGTCCAAGGGACTGTGCCAAATCTAACCTGAAAGAAAATTCAATGATCACAATTGCTGAATTAAAAAAACAAAAACAAAAAAAAACAAATAAAAACCAATAAAGTAATGCTCTGTTAAGATTGACACTGTTACTCGCCCTTTCAGTTAAGAGAGTCATTTCTTTCAGTTGAATGTGTTGATTTTATTGCTCCAACCAATCGCGCAACTGTTTTCAAACACGCTGCCTTTGGATCAGGCATCAAAGCTGGCAAGTTAGACGCTTCTCACATCTGCAGTGTTTGAAACATCTGCACCGGGATCTGTAATGTAATAAGTGGCTGTGTGGAGAAATAGTGAATGCATCCACCACATGTGCTTGGTCCATGACTAACAAGGCTACTGTCTGGCATGTAATCTGAGAGCCTTTCATTTAAGGGGAGAAATGCTTAGCTGAAAATGACATTTCCTCTTGTTCTACTCGACTCAAAGTCTCTCGGAAGCAGGAAATCAGAACAATTGTGTGTGTGTGTGCGTGCGTGTGTGTGTGTGTGTGTGCGTGTGCGTGTGCGTGCCTGTGTGTGTGCGTGCATGCATGCGTGCGTGTGTGTGGTATTTGTATACTGCGTCCAAGTGGAGCCCAAAAAAAAAAAAAAAAAGTAATAAGTATACGACGAAATACCTTACTTAATGAAGGCTCTTTGTTTTGCAGAGACAATTGAATGCATTTATGTACTAACTACTTCCTTTGGGGCTGTGACTAACCGTTTAGTCTTGGGTGTAACCTAATGTAATTATTGATGCTGCCTCGAAGCTAATGACTGCAGAGGGATTGTACAAAATCATTGTCTGTGTTAAGATAAAGAGTCCATGCGCTTGGCGTAAAAATGGACAGAACTTCATTTTCGTGCCGGGGCAAGTCTAGTTTAGCATGTTTGAGACCGTCTTGCCACTCAGTCGGCCTTTCGGGAAACCGATCTGCTGCGCCCCCGATGCACCTGACGAATTGTTCGCAGGAATTCGACGACGCGCGATGTAAAAATGGCCGTATCTTCCTTTTCGTCCCAGGGCAAGTCTAGTTTAGTGTGAATTTGGTAGACCGCGCTGCGTGGTGATAGGGCGTTTTCTATGACGGTACAGTCCCCCGGCACACCTGTTAATTTGGTGTAAAAAATTTTGGGAGAGGCGTGGTCCACACACAGAAGAACGCACGATCTTGGGTACACGGTGGTCTCTGCCCATGTCAGATACACGGCCAACGACATCATTCGCAAGGCGAGATCTCGCAGTTGACCGATATCGAAGCACTTTGCGTGCGGACCCCGGCGAGTCCATTTCTGCTTCCGCAATGTGCACTTCCACCGCCCAGATTTGAATGGGAATGACGGGAGCCGCTTTCATTGGCCTGTCTCCCACAACAGCGCAAACGCCCCCAAAATAGGGCCCTCAATGAAGATGTTCAAACAAAAGTGAATTTATTTCTTACCTATTCAGCACAACAGCAAAACAATATCACTGATAATAACATTGAAACTGTAAAATATTATCATTTTAAATTGTGACCTTTCATCACCCAAGCTTAGACCTTGTGGAGTTTCTCCTCATGCAAATCTTGAAGAACCAATTCCACATATAAGCAGGTCTTGCTTTTTCTTAATTTTTTTGGGGGGATGGTGAAAAGGAAAACTACGACGCTAACCATTTAGGTGGTACCGGAATGTATTGCAACATTAGAAAGCGGTCCGCGCATCTTTGTCCTGGCTATTCAGTACAATATGGCTAAGACCGCTTGTATGCAGTCACAATAAGGACGATAAGTACACCATTTAGTGAAGTAATGTTTCGATACACTGTATTGGCACATCAAACGTACCGTGCGGTTCTTATGATGTGCTTATTCAATTTTCACATCAGTGCTGGAATGCAATATGATTGTCAAGACAAAATGTGGTCCAGCCATGCGTAAACAAAAGGTTTTTGCTCACTGAACTGTTTTGCTGTTGGCGATGTGATTTAAGAGGAGAGAGGGTGACTTTTCCAACACCTCTGGCCAAGTTAAAATAAGATATAAAATATTACACAAAGGGATTTTCCCTCAAAGATTGGATGCACTTTAATAGATTTGTCAAAATCAATTTTCAAGCCTGTATGGAGGCAAGAATAGAAAGGTGTGGTGTTGTTTTTTTTTTTTTTTAGATCTCTCCATCCGCCAATCTAATGTTAAAATATTGCCGAACTGTACATCAAGGCCCAAACACTGTCTTATAAACAGGATAGCACTCCAGATTTGTTCAAAAGTAGCATAGTTTACATCATTTTATTGTTTGAGGCTAAGTGCCTAGTATATACACCTGCACGTGTTTCAAAGATTTGTCGTAATTCACTTTAATACATTTGCTTGCATTGGCCACAATCCCTTTTTTTTTCATGAATGTGATGAATTGTGGTTTTTTCCCCCCCCCCCCCCCCCAACTCCATTTCTTCTTTATTTTACCATAAAAGAGCTCCGGGGTGAACACATTACTCTTGTCTGAACTGGAATCCTGAGGTAATATTCTGGCTTGGCCAGAATTCACATTACGTGAGACATTCCCCACAGGACAAATGTTAGCTTAACTGTTGCTTGATAATTGCGTTTGCGGCTTTGTGAAGCTGTGTGTACGTGTTGTACTTTGGAAATGTGCTCGATGCCAGGTATTCATCTTATCAAAATGCCACACGTGAGTGATGCTTATATGCCAGTGGAAATGCTCTTGCATCACACACACACACAAGAAGTCGCCTTTTGCATAGAAATGAATGCTCAATTTTGATTGGCACCTTCAGCAAAGTGTATAACGTAGCCAGCCAAGTGTAGAATGTAGATTTATTTAGGAAAAACAAACAACCACTTTGTACTGTGTACTTTGATAGTGTAGCGGTACACTTGCTTGACTTTGTAGCAGGCAAGATGGAATTGGCTTGCAACCAGTCCTTGGAGAACTGTACAAGTGAGAGCGTGCGAACAGCCTCTTATTATTCTTATTCTTCTTATTATTATTATTAACTCCACCGACCTGTCAGGCGTGGACAGGTACTTCTGCTTTTGGAACTTCTTCTCCAGGCCCATCAGCTGCAGCTCCGTGAAGATGGTGCGGCTGCGACGGGGCTTTTTCAGGCGGGGGGTTCCGCGCTCTGTCTCCGAGTCGCTGCTAATGCTGAGGGGCGTTTGGCTGGGCGACGGTTCGGAGCCTCGGCCGTGCTGCGGCGACAATAGCGGGAGATGGGGCGGAACTCCACCCGAGGATGGAGGTGTGTGCGGGAGGTGGCCTGGGTGGCTTGGAGGCTGCCGTGTGATGACCGAGAGGAGTGGGTAGGCACGCAGTGAAGAAGAACCTGAGACAGCACACACACACACACACACAGAACAATGTAATAAACACTCGAGCAACAGATGAGAGCAGGGTTACTGTAAGTTTTCAGGAGGCTCTTATTCTGTTATCGACCGCGTGTAATTGCTCAATTATTAATTGCCCAGCGTTTTCTACGAAGTGTTTTACTCTTGACCTCGCTCTTCTAAAGGGCGCTGACCCCTATGACGCAGTCTTGTGTTTTACACCACTCCCCTTGACCCTTCACATGAATGATTATTTTGCAGAAGATGTTAAATACGATCAGATGACACGTCGGATGATGTACACGCACACACTGAAGCAGCTGTAAGAAAATCTCAAAAAACACTGTCCGATGCAATGAACTCATTTTACCTCTCTCTCTGTGTCCTGTGATCTTTCACTCTTGTGTGCAATCATGCATGAGCACACATTGTCAAATTTGCCCTCTATCAGAGCACACAGAGCAGCGAGACGCCAGAATCAATAAAAAGTAACACTTGTCTGGAGCCAGTGGGAGGGAAGGGAAGAGGGCGAGCATGAGGTTTAGCCGAATGGATGTGGCGGGTCAATGAAAGTCATTGTCACACGGTATCTGCCAGAAACATCTTTATGACCTCACGACCAACACAATCACAGTCATCCACCAAGCAAAATGAAACTTTGCGACTGTTGAGCTGATGAGATGAAATGTGGGCACGCGCACTTAGACAAAGGCGGTACAGTGCCAACGTGTCGAGAGGTTCTGGGTTTGAATCAGTGTGGAAATTGCAAGTTTCTCCCCTTGCTAGTATGGTAGTTTGTCTCTATGTACCAGCTCAGGGTGTAGACTGCCTCTTGGCCAAAATCAGAATGCTCCACCTCACCCGTGACCCTTGTGATGACAAGCCCAAGAGAATATGAATCAGGAGATGGATTATATTCACACATACACACACACAGTCGTGGCAGGTGAAAGTCATGTAAATCCCCCACTTATCCACCAACGCACCAGCAACGTGACATAGAATCTGACTTTTTATGTTTAAGTGTTCCGCTTGGAAGCCCAAAAAAAAAAAAATCAGATGACGAATGGTGGCACTTAGAGGAAGAATGAGCATGCCTTGTCTTGCGCCGTTGTATGTAAGGCCTATAAAGATGCTTGCATACCGTATAACCTGCACAGAAGTACATGACAAGAAACAAGAGAGGAAACGTGATAATGGAAGCTGTCATGAGACCGTGCATTGTCCATACAGGCACATACTGTACACTCTATGGGGCACACCTGCTTGCTCTCTACACGTACGCACAAACAGACACAGATGCACACATGAACACAAAGAGGCACTACCTGCAGTTGATGATGACATCATGTCAAGGTGCTGAGGTCAGGTTAATCCTACAACCTGAGATTGCTGCCGTTACAACAGGCCTCGACAAGATCTTTTTTTTTCCTTCTTTTTTTTTTTTCATTTGTGCGCACAGCTACTACTTGTATTTTGTCACAATGTGTTTCTGACTGTGAATCACCTCCGCTGACACTTACGATATCAAGTCATAACCATATGAGTTGTAATGCTGCCGAGGGTGTTGAATGGTACAAGGGGGATTTGATCCTGGGTAGGGGTGGGCAGGGGGAAGGGGGGGTTACAAAGAGAAGACATTTTGTCAGCAAAGAGCTTGACGTTTAAGTGGGAGGCACACAAAGAAGGAGCAAAAGAGGAGAATGTTAACGTCGCCGGTGACTTTCCACTGACAGCATACGAGCTCGCATGTGACACGCTGTTGACAAGCTCCGCGTCCTGTCAATAGGCTACAAATAAACTGTTTAAGGAACTGCAAAGAGCACTGGTGCAACAGATACGCTTGATAATCAAGGTCGCTATGTAAGAAATGCTTATGGTAACCGTTACGGCCAAGAATAGATCAAGACATTCAATTTCCATTTTATTAGCGATACTATCAACAACATTTCCTCCATTGGACATGCAAATACTTGTTAACTGACTGTTCTTACAAGAATTTAGAAGGGAAGCAAACAAAAAGCACTCTGTTACATTTGAACTTGACTATTTTCCAAGAGTACAGTCGAACTGCAAGTGTATGCCTGTTCGACGGTGCCAAAAAAGCATGAAGGCTCATGAGCTGACGTCATGTAGCCGAGGTATTCATATTTTTGTAAGTCATTCAAACAGCCACCCAGAATATCGCCATCCAAGAGAAAAACATGTATTTTCAAAATGTGAGTTTTTAGTTTTACCAAGAAAAAAAAATGGTGGGGGGTTTATTGGTATCGGGGTTTATTGGTCGTGATTAAAAGTAGCATTCTTATATAATCAAACTATGTTTTTTTAAATTGAAAACAGTTTTGTTCTTGTTTAAATATTTTGGTGGGGATTAAATCAATATTCACTTTGTTACATTCAATTGCTCTGTAAAAAAATGTTTAAAAAAATCCAGAAAGATTTTTTTTTAACTTTTTTTGGGGGGGGCATATAAAATTAAAAATACATTTCCTTAAAAGCATTTATCTCCAAATGTTTGACCTTTTGTAGACCCCATTAAATCCTTGTCAAAGCAGGCTTACATATAATACCCCTTAGATTAATTTTATAATTTGTTTTAGTTACTTTTGGTATAATGCTAAAACGTAATTTACATTTTATGGCATTTTCCCAGTGCAAATTTCTGCTTGAATTCAAATATTTTCTGCAATATTTTGTGGAAACTATTCCAATGGACGCCAGACGTCATGCTCTATAAAATGCATGAAAGTGCGGCATTAAAACACGAATATGTTTATCTTAATTTATGAATTGAATGATTTAATTCAGTTACCCCCCCAAAAAAAAAAATCATTGAAAAGTAGCTGACTGAAATCATGTTTGATTTGAAAATCCTAAACCTGCATGGGGAAAAAAAGCAGACAGTTGTTAAGCAACTTTCAAACACAAAGCTCTGTGTCTCAAATGACTGAATAGCTCAAGTCATTTACTGTTGTTGATTGTGTGGAAATGGTTTGCTGACTGAAAAGTTCGTGTGCGCTGGAAATGGGAACAGACAAGCAACCCATAAGCAACAATTGGTGATCCGCTCCGACTGTTCTTTATGGCACCCGTGTTCTTTAGCGACATCTGTTGGGAGTAGGTGGTCATGACATCCATCAAGTCCTCAAATTCAGTGCAAACTTTCACTGCTGAGGCCCACGTCAGCCTGACAGCTTCTATATCAAGCGCTAAAGGTAATAGATGTTGAAGAATATAGTGTGTCTCACACCCCAGCAGCTCCAAATAAGTGGGCACCGTGTTCCAGTGCCCCAAAGCAGGTTACTCTATCCATCGGGGCGGTGTGGTGCCAACCATAATGCCCTCCTGCATACACCATATCACAGGGATGAGAGGATCATGACTCCTATTTTTGTATCTGCCCTCGCCCCACAAACATCACCACCCATCATCACCAGCTCTGGCATCATCAAGTTCCACTGGTTATTATTTCAGACTTTGGAGCAATTAGCTTTAATGGTTAGTGGAGCCGGCAGTAGCCTTGGACTGCATGGAAGCTATTAAGAATATCCCAGTTATTGAGTTATTCTTGACATATCTATCTATCGATATCTATCTATCCATCTAAATGTGTAATATGTGATAGAGTGTTACAATCACTTCGGTATCTATTGTCACTTTGTCACTATTTTTCAGAGTTTACACGATCAGCAATGTTAATTCGCACACCGTTTTCATTCATGAAAAATATCTGTCCGAATAGGGGTTAGCAATTCCGGTTTCACACGTCTCCCTCGTCCGACATACCTGATTCAAATGATCAGCTCATCAGCCAGCTCTGCAGAAGATGGAAAATGCCCAGTTATTGAGTTATTCTTGACATATCTATCTATCTATCTATCTATCGATATATATCTATCCATCTAAATGTGTAATATGTGAAAGAGTGTTACAATCACTTCGGTATCAATTGTCACTTTGTCACTACCCAGTTATTGAGTTATTCTTGACATATCTATCTATCGATATCTATCTATCCATCTAAATGTGTAATATGTGATAGAGTGTTACAATCACTTCGGTATCTATTGTCACTTTGTCACTATTTTTCAGAGTTTACACGATCAGCAATGTTAATTCGCACACCGTTTTCATTCATGAAAAATATCTGTCCGAATAGGGGTTAGCAATTCCGGTTTCACACGTCTCCCTCGTCCGACATACCTGATTCAAATGATCAGCTCATCAGCCAGCTCTGCAGAAGATGGAAAATGCTCCTGATCATTTGAATCAGGTGTGTTGGAGCGGGGAGACATCGATAACATCCAGGATACCAGTCCTTGAGGACCAGAGCTGCCGGCCCCTGTGTTTGAGGTTTCATTAGGATGTAAAATGTCATTTAAAACTTGCATGGAAATCATAGCTTCGTTAGATGCTCTGAGCTACCATTCCAAAATAGAACTTTGAATGTAACTTACAAAAATCATCAGCCGCCCCCTAAAGCACAGGGGATGCTCAAAAGTATACATGGTGTGATTTATAACATCCCCAAATGGGTCTATATGACAATAAGATAAATTATATAAAATTTAAAAAATAGGGTTCAATTGACGGAATGCAATAGAAATTATGATTATTACTTTGTAGTAGGTGCAGTGATTGAACACGTTTAATTGCAAGTCTTTCACATTTTGAATCAGCCAAATGTCGTATTACACACGTCACCTATTGCATTAAATCAGCTTTTGTCAAAATATTAAAATATAAAAAATATTAAAAGTGGCCTACAGGATGAGTAAAAGCACGCGTTAAACTGGCCAAGCGCTTGAACCGCAATTCGGCCAAACGCTTCAGCGTTTCCTATGAATAAATCAGGTGAGTTCAAATGCATATTTATTTCTTACCCGAGCAAGAGTGAAGAGGCTTGGGTCGGACGACGAGCGACGGGCACACAGAGTAGAGGGAAAACTTCTCAAAATAATCACAAGCCTCCTTGGAGAGGATCTCGTCGATCATGAACGTCTTGTAGCGTCGCCTGGCAGCCTTCAGCTGGCCAGGGGAGGAAAGCCTCACTTCGGCTTGACAGTGCATGCTGGATCCCTGAGTATGAAGGAAGGCTCGAAACAAGTGCAAAGGAGACTCGGGCGGGGAGGGCGACAAGTCAGACCACTCCGCTACACCACTACGACTGCTCCGAGCATTTTGCGGTAAGAAGATTCGTTGGAGATGAGCCGATTGAGACCTGCACGGACTAACATCCACTTGTATATAAACAGACACAGCTCGTTCTCTCTCTCTCTCTCTCTCTCTCTCTCTCTCTCTCTCTCTCTCTCTCTCTCTTTCTCTCTCACGCTCCCTCCATCTGCTTCCGCCCTCCTCCGATAGACTGCCGCGAACGAATGAACCCAATAGCGGACGCTTAATACCATTCATTTCACTCGCTCCTTTTTTTCCCCCCATTTTGATTTGGTGGAATTGAAATGAAATAACCGAACCCGCCCTAACTTGTTTTGTGTAAATTCCAGTTGAGTTAATTTACGTTTTGTTGATTTAGTGGACTGTGATTCAATTTAAAAACAATTCTGCCATGACTAAACGATCAGCGTTTTTTGACACTGCTATAAAAAAATAAACAAATAAAAGTTTACAGATTCGGTTGTAGGTAAGTGCACTGTTAAAAACGAGGAGTGTTTTTAATATATTATCTCTCCTAAATAATGAGGATTAAATCAAGACTGAGCATAATTATTCTTTTGTAATTTTATGGTAGTTTTGCGATTTTCTACAGTGAAAACGTCAACATATGTTAAATATAGTATTACAGGATTATTTTGTGAAAATAAGGTACACGTTAAAATAATTAACTATTCAACACAATAATAACCAAATGATTTAAATAACCATTATTTGAATCGTATCGTTTCGTTTAGAATAATAATTATGTTGTGTTTTCACGACTAATACAACTGAAGGATAAAATAAAAGTATCCAGAAAACAGTCTTCATTCAGATGTTCGGATGTGGTTCAGCCAGTTTTGAGGCTCAAATGACGGAAAAGAGGCTCATGTTAAATGATTTTGAAGGAATTTTTTTTCAACCAAACGTGTTTGGCATTCACATTGTTTCAACCGGTTTTCTGTTCGAAATAATAATGCAGTGACTTGACAGGGTTTCTCATTTTTAGAATAAAAGATAAAATGAATGCATGTTAACTTTATGTTCTGCATGCTGACAAGTAATGAGAACGGCAAGAAATTGGAACGACTCTACACAGAAAGAAAACTGAACTGTTGCACCCCTGAGCACTGCAGTCAAACATAAACTCGGTGGTGACTTCATTAGCGACCCTTGTACAATACATGTACACACAAAAAATACCGTGGCAAATTAAATTGACATAAACATTTTCTTTCTTGGAACAAAAGCATCCCAGTGGGTATTTGATGTCAATCCAACATCACAATGACATCAACTGATTCATAGTAATGTTGAATTAGACTCATGTACATGTGTACCCAATGATGTGGCCAGCAAATGTGTAGTAATTCAAATGCAACAGGGCAAAATGTATTTTGGTCCACCTGCACCATGTAATGATGCAAACCACCATACAAAAGTAAAACTAAAAAAAAAAAATATACACTCCTCACAAAATAAGCGCATTATGCTTGATAGTTTCATTAAATGAAACTCTTTGTTTATGACCTGCAAATAGTCATTTCACTGCATTTGGCTATCAGCTACCAGAAGTGCAGCCATCATAACATTGCTGCGGGTTGGGGCTGTGGTGGAGTTGAAGTGGGTTCAGTAGCCGGCAGGCTACTTAATCTGGCTGCTTCAGAGCAGGAGACGCCAGCCAGATCAAGCAATTAAAGTTGTAAGACCACCACATGTGTCATAATAATAATAACAATGAAGGCCTTCCGCCTGACAGCCTGCAGAGGATAAAATTGATTAGAGCACACAGAAGGGTGTAAATACACCTTTAGCGCCACATGAGGCTGACACTTAAATTGTTCCTACATGCAACCAGGCAGCTTTAAGCACTTTCGGAAGGCTAGATTATGACCTCATCGTTGGTTGTTATGGGATGTGATCATCACTTTGTTGCGGGGACACCTGGGCAGGGATGCGAAAAGAGCGACAGCAACATGAGATGTGCCGGATCAAAGCAGTTCCTATTCCAGGAGGATTGTCCCAGAATAGCTGATCTGCGTCCACGTTGGGGTAACAAGAAACACCTCCACGTAATTGCACGTATCCGAGTGAACAGAGTGGGTGACAAATCCGCGTCAAGCCCTGAAAACGTCCTAAATAGAAAGGTCGCATGGAGGAGCTGATCATGTGGCTGGGATACATTTACTGCGGTAATTGGCTTCCCTGAAAGAATATGCACGGTACCTGTAGATTACTTCCGAACCCGCAGCACAAGCATATTAGTTACACATTTGGCCATTTATAGGTGCAAATAAGGCCACCAGCTCCACGCAGCACCACAGCGAACACGTTTGTGCAGGAATGAAAGAGGATGCAAATGTTCAGCCAAATAATGTTTATAATCATGATTGTTTTAAAACATCACTCATTTGCCTTAAGAAAATCAAGGTTAAAAAAAAAATAATAGAGGAACATTTTTAGTGAGCTCAACATTGCAGAAGTGGTGCTGGTGGATTTTCTTTTTTTGTTTTTTGCAAATTACCTGAACATTGTACAATTACTCTGAGCACCATGATTAATATTGTGAGTTAAATAATACAAAAAACAGGCCAAAAGGCCAAGTCCTGTCCCGTCTACTTAAACAAGAATCACATTTCTGTCATTGGCCAGATGTGATCTGTGAGGTTTGTGTCACATTAAATACAAATTTAAAAACATTAAAAATGTAAACCAAAAAAAAAAGAGTTAAGATACAAATCATTTTTGTTCATATACAAAACAACCTGAGCATACAGATATTGTCAACAAAAGAGTCTCTTTTCCCTTACATCAGTATCGTCTCCAACTACTATCGTGGTAACCACGGTTAAAGCTCCTGTCGTCGTCGTGGTGCCTGTTGCCACCTTGGCCGTTGTGGTGACGGCCTCCGCCCCCCCAGGCATTCTGCTGGTGATAGTTCCTGTTGTGTTGCTGCTGCCGATTATGTCTGAAGCTGCCTGCGCCCCCTGCAGACGGACGCCTCTGCGTCTTGGAAAAGCTGTTGGCTAATTGCGGCGGCTGAGACATCTGTTGCTGACACATCATGTTCATCTTGGAATGGAGAAGACAAATTAACACGTTTTGTATTGGAAGGGGACCTCAACAAAATTCAGCCTGCAATTCATCTTGAGCTCGTCTTGAAAATAAGAACTTACCATGGCATGCTTCTGCAGACTGTCAGGGGAAGAAAAAGACCTTTGCATAGAAGCTGGCGGAGTGTATGGAGGAGATGTGAACTGCGGTGGCACCCTGGAAGAGAAACATATTCAAATATTCACTCCGTCATCAAGCACACAAAATGGTGACATGGCAGCTTCAACTAAACCACGAGAAGGATGGCTTCACCTCAATCTGTGGGGATTTTGAGTACTTGTAGGACTCGAGTTCCCAGAATTGTTGCTGTGGCTGCTGCCTAAAAGAGGGTACAAACCAAATTTAATTTGTAACTGTTAGTAATAGTTTTGTCCTTTGGTGTGATTGTGAGCATGACCGGCTGGCTGTTGATGTGCGCACCCGTGACCTCGCCTGCTGCCCGAAGACAGCTGGGATGGGCTCCAGCACGCCCGCGACCCTCGTGCAAACGGATCAGGTAATGGATAGGTGAGTAAGGGTATACAAATTTGAAGGCGGAAACAAAGAAGAGTGCTTCGAGTTATTTCGTAAAGTAAATTTAGGAATGTTTACCATTCCAACAGCTTTCAAACAACGAAGCTAGACGCTAATGCTATTCTAGCTAATACCAGCCGCTAGTGGCGACATTCCCATAGAAGGCAAAGGCAATGCATGTGCATTGAAAACAATCAATAACATGCTCAATTCTCAAACGATTTTGATGAGGCTGACTTAATTGTCAATGCCAAAATTAGTGCTATTAACAGATTACATCTTTGATTTTTTTTTTCCTGTGGGACGCCAATGAATATAGACCGCAGCAACACAGTGCCGGTACGTTGGAGTAAGGGCACTTCACAGGCGTGTCATATGTAGCTATTTGGTTACCAGAGTGCTTTGTGTGGCGAAATACATTTAATCAACGACGTTTAAAAAAAATGCAGAAAAGCTTTTTGTGATCGACTTAAGAAAATACGATTGCTGTTGTTATTCAGTTGCTGTTATCAAGGTCTATTTTGCCTGTTGAATGCAGTACGTGCAACACAGCACGTTTACTTGTGGGCGACACTCACCTGTTGCCTACTAAGATAGAATATTAATAACATACACACAAACACACATTTTATCCTCCATTTCCCCCTATACACATTACGATCGACTTGGGACGGCCAAAAACGAAACCAAACGAAAAAAACACGGCATTTGAGCACGCGTAACATACCTGCTCGGAATTGCACATGGATCATTCTACCAAACAGGGACGTCCCGTCTAGGAGCTCCATGGCATACGGCACCGACTCCTCGTGTTTGTATACGGCGAAACCAAATGTTTTCTGTTTGCCATCACCGTCTTTTGGAATTTTGGTTTTGATGAGAGGTCCTGCCTACTGAGAGAGTTTTGTTAATGTTGTGCTAGCATGTTTTGATAATTTAAGTTTAAATTGTCATTTTTTTTCTCGATTGACCAGACTGCACACTTTCATTTTAACGTTGAAAGCAAACTAATTTTTACTGCGAGGATATTTAGCGTTCATGTCTTTCGAGGATATCTTTCGATCGACGAGGCGGTGCTACTAGCTAGCACTCGCAACCGACCAGTAAAAGCCAGCTTGCAAGAAAACATCACCTGTAAGAATAGCTCGAATAAAAGCTCCTCAGTCACTCGCGTATCCAAATTCCTGATAAAAAGCGTCCTGTCAGCTTCGTCTTCGATCCCCATTATAATGTGTATAGTCTAGCTCGTCTCCGAGAGATGCTAACAGGCGCTAGCTTATCAAAACCTTTGATTAAAAGAAAAAAAAAAAAAACAAGCTAGGCCCGTGACGTCATGTTTAATGACGAGTTGACAGGATCTTTCTCGCTCAAAGATAGAAGCCTTCATTTTTGGATATGTGTGCTCTACTGCCACCTTTGGTTCAGGATGACGAATGGCATCCTTGACATAAATGCCGCATTAAAAATGTATTGCCAGTTCTTTTTGAGTGCCAGTACGTAAGTATATTATCCAAGGTGAATGATAGAATGAATGAAGTTATATGGGACATTATGACCATATACAAAACAACACATTCAAATAAATAAACAAAAAATATGTGTTTTTAAAAAATATATGATGTGCAAACAACCCTGCACCTCTTGAGCTAGGTTGGCGGGTCTGTTCCTTTCTCAAGGGCACCTCGATAGCACTAATAGTCAATAGCATTGCTCTAATATTTAATTGCCTGCTTTTGAATCATGATGTAGTGAACATGTTAAGATTTAAACCTCCCACCGCTTGGTGTTTTAATTACACCATTCTACCCCAAAATACTGTACCTAAAATTAAATCCTACCACATTTCACATGACTACTATTCCTGCTCAATTTATACTTTCCATTATTTTGGCGGCTTGGCTGTTGCGCACTGATAAGTCTTTCGTCCCTCCCTTCGGCCTTTTAAACACAGTAGCTGAAGTGCCTGGAACCAATTAGTGCCCCTGGCATCGCTGATAGTGGAGGTCAAGATAGTGGCATGAGAGGCTTAGCTTCTTCCACCATAATTAGATGGGTTTTGGTGTCGTCTTTTAATCCTTTCAAAGTGTATTGATTTTCCTCTTCATGCTTCGGGGACTGCACTGATTTTGGCATGATGAAGCTCAAATAAGAGAGACACAGGATGTATATTGACTCAGTTTTTAACAACTTCAGCTTATTTGATGGATCGTCCAAGTTAGCTGCAAGCTATTGCCTTATTGATTTAATATACTTGAAGCCTCTGCGACAAATTGACTTGCTCTGTTATGTTTTCACCATCCTTCCAGCGGTAATTCAATTGCAATTAAGTAAAATTTTTAGTTGGGGAAGCTGCTGCTTTATTTAACCTGGTAGGTCTACTGAGAACAAGTTCTCAGGAACTCATCAAATGAGACAATTACATGAAAATGATTAAAAAAAAAAAAGAACCACCAATCCAACATCATCTCTTCCAGATGAACATAACATGCACATTTTGATATGTTGGTAGTCTCTCTAAAAATATTTAAATTTCTGCGAGAGTGCACTCTATTCTGTTAAACATGCATAAAAATCACCACACACCCAAGCAAATTACTACAATATGTGCCGTATATTAGGCATCATGCATGTATCATCATAAGCCAGTACAACTCTCTGATGCATAAACACAGCAGTTCTACCTGTATTTCAATGTAACTTTCATTTGTGGTATGCACTACTACACAGTGTATCAGAACAGTAGATGGCAGCATTGATCCAACGATGTTGTTGACTGCATGCGGGGGCCCCTTAGGGTGACAAACAGTTATGCACAGAGGGAAATTGCGAGTCACGTTTGGAGGTAGGCCCATATACCAGGGGTTGCAACCTCATTTTGGTTGCGGGCCACATTATAGTTGCAGTTTCCCACAGAGAGCCATTGTGACTGGAACCATAGAAATGTTTGATCTCATATTATTACATATACACAACAACGGATGGATAACTAGTTTGGAAAATTAGACATCAAGGATATTAGTTTGTTCAACTATTGTTCAAGTTACTGTGAAAAGGGGCTTGGTAACAAACATCGTTTGCAATATCTCTGTTATTATTTCTACATGTGACATTTAGAAATTTTGGTTCAAGCAAGAATCGTGGAAGTTGATGCACAAAGTTTGCTTCTGTGGGCCACATAAAATGAGGTGGCCGGCCAGATCTATAAATGTGTGTACAGTATTTCATATAGATATTTCATACTCTGTAGAAACAGATCCTGCACTTACAGTACTGACGAGCTAAGAGTATTGTGTTTAATTAGTCAAAACAAGCAGTGGTCAAGCAGAACAACATTATACTAATTGGTAGAATTCATAGAAACACAGTGGAGCTACATTTAGAACAGCACCATGCATTTTAGCATCATTAAAACATTATCACATTTATGTTTGTTTTTATGGCTGAATTTATGTATGCCTCTGATTTAAATTTGGCCTCATTTTATAATTGCTAGCGAAGGAGAACCATGATTAAGATTAAGATTACAAAAAAAAGAAAAAAACTGGGCCGTTGGTCAAGGGTGGTTTTTCACTTGACATCAAAGGAAGATACCCTCAAAGTAGGCCCATGTCAGTTCTGTGTGTAATCCCATGACTTCACATTACAGCTAATGTAAATTTATACTCACAGACACACACAAGAGCATCCATGCAAAGACACGCACACACGCTTACACACATACACACTGAGCAATTTCACTTGTGACCTCTGGCCTGGAGCGTTTGGTGAGCCTGTGAAATGACTGACTGGTGGCCAGACACTTCCTTCTCCTTGACCGATAGCCACCCTAGCTGATGGCTCCCATCTACAACAACCCTGATGTCACTGTTCTTCCTTTCTGTCCGTGAATTGATGTGACTTGGGGAGTGATTTGGAACCATTAAATCACGGGTAGACAACTCCGGTCCTGGATTGAAATGATCAAGTTCATTATCAGGGTTCTGCGGAGCTCAACTCAACTCAATTCAACTCAACTCAACTGTATTTATAGAGCACTTTAAAACAGCCACCGCTGTATACTGTCATGATTCGGTTTGAGACCAACAGGTGGCACTGTAGGGCTCCCCCTGCAGCTGCACACCTGTTGGTCGTTATGTAATTAGTGCTTTAAAAGGACTCCCAGCCCGAACACTCAGTGTCGGGTCATTGTTGCTCTTTGCTACTGTCATGTTTGTTCTCAGTCATGGTTAGTTTTTGCTTCAGTCATGGTTTTGTTGACTACTTTGGATTCTTTTTGTTTTCAGGACTTTGTTTGTTTAGGATTTAGTTTTCTGTGTTTTATCAATACACTTCTTCAAGTTCACTCTGCTCCTCCCTCCTGCCTGCTTTTTTTGGGGTCCACCACCACCACCTCGCAACGTGACATATACAAAGTGCCGTACATGGACCAAATATCATCGAAACAACAATAAACAATACAACAAAGAATTAATAATGAAGACAGTAGGTCTTGATTTCCTCCGGGGAGGATAAAAGTGGCCTTAATGAGAAAACGTGTTTTTTGCTCAGTCGGACATTGATCTGACAGTCATTTGCAAAGCAGTGGAAGGAAAGACCATGTTTCCTTAAGATGGAACCCAATGGGAGCAGATACAGTGAGAACAGCAGAGGCCCCAGAATTGAGCCCTGTGGAACACCTGTGGATCGCTGATTAGCTGATAATTTGATCATTTGGACCAGGTGTGTCGAAGGAGGAAAGTTCCAATTTGTCCTCCAACTGCATTGAGATGTGTGATGAAGAGTCTCTCTCTCTCTCTCTCTCTCTCTCTCTCTCTTTCTCTTTCTCTTTCTCTCACTCTGTCTATCACACACACACACACACACACACACACACACACACGTATACACAAAGAGTTGATCACTGGCAGCATGCCACCTAAATTCAGCACTGTGCCACAATAATGGATACAATATATTTGCAGGGGATTGTCCATGTGGCTATATCGTCCACTCATGTGTGCTTGTTATCTCGATATCTGGGCCGCGTGTTGCTGCTACTTTGACAGAGAGTGACTTTGTTTTCATTTCCAACGACGCTCTCACGTCTTGCATCCTTTTCCCTTGTAAACATATTCAAGGGAGATCTCTGCCCTGTTGCTACAGTCCTGCAGTGTTGAGCAGCAGTGTTCAAAGGAGAGACGGGGAAGCGTGCCTGGCATCGTTCCCCACACAACAACAAGCAAAAAAAAGATTGTGTCGGAATCCAAATCCAGCTTTGCTTGTATGAGTTAACTAAAGGAACCCTCAGTCCCACATTTTCTACTCCGCATGCATGGTGACAACTTAATGGGAGTGAGGGTTGCAATAAAAGCGTGTTCACACCACTTTGCGGATTACCTTGACCCCTCGGGAAGTGGGCTGTCAGCAAATTTCAGATGACCATGCTCACCCCGATTTCATTCCAGGTAAGGAACTGAATATGAGAACCTTGTTTCATGGATATGGAAGGGAAATGACACTTCCCGAGAACTAATTAAGAGATAGTTCAAAGTAGCATAATCCTTATCTCATCACAAATATCCAATCTCTTATTGAATGCTCTTCCTCCAGCTTTTTGCTTTATTGACTGCCCTATTTTTTTGTGTGTGTTTGTTTTTTTAATTGCCCAAACAACCCCAGAAAATATAATGAGCTCTGTCCTTGCTTTTTTTTCAAGCTAGCGGTACATAAACTTTGTTTCTACCATCCTCACTTTCTTATAATCAATAGTGGAGTGTCCCATATTCCTGCTGCTGAGCAGAACAGGCCCGCAGAGACAGCTACGACCACCGCTCATAACCTATAGCTCACAGCTCAACCCCAGAAGAAGAACACGCTTCCCTTTGAAGCTTTTCATCACTATGGTAATCAGCGGATCACAGGATGTTGTGCCATTTCCTCCAGATGCAAATATTAGCTTCACATGCAAACTCTTGATCTTAGAACCCCGTCTTACTTACTCGCATCTCCACTTCAGGCTTACACAACTACAGCCCGTCAGCGAGTTGCTGTAAGTATTTCAGGCCGACGCCGTCCATCCAAGTCCACAATGCTAATTTGAAGATACGTGATGATGCAGCATTTGGAAATTTTCAACTGTGGAGGACGTTCGTCATTGACACGGGGTGAAAGATCCATCTTGCAGATCAAGTGATCGTGCTAGACATAATTGACGCCTCTATGAAATAATGACACGGAGGAAAAAAACTCCCAAACATTTCTTCAGGCACGGGGAGCACATGCAAACTCCACACAGGAAAGACAGAACCGGGATCGACGAGCCGACGCGTTAACCACTGGACTAACGGGCCGCTGTT